ATATATATATATATATATATATACATACACTAGTGTTTCCTCCAAATGTACCAAAGAACACTGGAATCTAGCAATGTATAGAAATAAGGTCTGGAATGCTGCAGAGTACAGCTGATTAAAATGGAGCTAAACGATTTGTTCAATAAACATTTAAAGAATGCCTACTATGTGCCACGTTCTCTTCTAGGCATGTGGGAAACATCAATGAATAAGAGGAATTCTGGTTGGATAGATTTAAACAACACACGTGGCAGCTCTCTAATCTTAGTTTAATTCAATAAAAGATGGACATTGAAAACTTTTCATCCAAACCTCACAGGGAAAGGGCTGGAGGTGGGCAAAAGCAATAGAGCAAGGAAGAGATCAGGGTCTGCAAGTGTGTGTGAGGAGTGGAGCTCAGGCTGTAGGGGAAGGGTAGAGCTCCTGCAAGTGGTGATGGTGGTGGGAGAGGAGGGGTCTACTTTCTACTACATTGGCCCACAGCTTACTCTCTGCTCCCTTTCTGAAACTCTCACCTTTCTCTTCTACCTCCACAATGATTTGCACTCTATGCAGGAAGGAACACAAGCTCAAACTGCCACAGTTGTGACCCTCATTCTTGATCTGCATCCCTTCCAGGATTTTACTCTTGGCCCTGCTCTAAACAGTTCTAATGAAAAAGATCTCACTTGCTTATTTTAAAATGGATTTGCCTGTTGACTCATGCAACAAACAAACAGGAGGCCAGTGATCTTGGGCAGGTCACTGAACATTTGGAAGTTGTGGTTTTCTGCACCTGACGAGCTCTGGTATCCTATTGTCCCACTTCATCAAATGTTCATCTCCTACACAGAAATGATCATCTTGGTTTTCTTTTTATCTATATATGCCACACATTCTCTCTGTGGCATGTACGTGACTAGATATATGTAAAAATGATTTGTAATTACACACATATACGTGGCTGAAAATATATCAAAAGACTATAAAGGATATAGATGATTGTCTCTGGGAAGAAGAGAAGGTTAGAGAAGAAATAAATCAGAACCTATAAGTTTTGATCTATATATTTTCATAAAGTCAACTTTTGCAACATATATTAATAAGAAGAAAAATTCTAAGAAGGAGCAAATCTACAATAGCATATGAACTAGAGAAACAATAAAATAATATTTACTTTTATATATATGTACGGGAAAATGTTTCTTGATTACTCTCCCCTGCCTCTTAAAACTAGAGTTACAGAATGAAGAACACAATATCTAGAACAGTAGTTATCTGTGGAAAGGGGAAATGAAGGAAATATGACTGAGGAAGAACATATAGGCGTTTCAGAAGTGTTGGTGATTTCGAAGTTTCTAAACTGGATGTTAGATACTTCAGTGATTGTGTTACTATTTTTCTATAAACCCCTCCCTCTAATATATATCTTCTTTATAGTTGATAAATTTCACAATAAAAATACAGAAAAATTGGGCAATATCTGCCTGTGTACCCTAACCTTACTCCTTTCTCCAGGTGGACCTTGATAAAGTCAAGTACAAATTTGCAATGTGTAGGGCTGGGAATTTAGCTCAGTGGTGCTGCTGCCTGCCTTGCAAGCACAAGGACTGAGTTCAATCCCTGGTACCAAAAAGAAAAAAAATTGCAACGTGTTCTCTGGAATACCTTTTCTGGGCTGTGAGCGCTAACTGGGTGATCTGTCGCTCTTCCTCCCTGGCTTTCTGCACAGCTTCGATCTTCTCTCTGTGGCACTCCATCATAATCCTTTGGATTCGATGAACCATGCGCTGCTCCACAGCCAGATTTTCTCTCTTCATTTCCTCACCCATGTTTTGAAACACCTCTGTCTTTGTTTTTTCTGCCATTTCCTTAAATGGAAAAACTTGGGTTAGATGAATACTAAGAGGTTGGATCTAAATCATAGTTTCAATTACTTGATGTTAACACTGATGATTTAAAAGAAGATTCTATACAATATGAAAAACTTTCATTTACATGATGTTAAGCAAAACCAAAAGTGTACAAACTATGTAGCATAAATATATATACTATATAGGTAATATTGAAAGGGAATATGCAAAAAATGTTGGGTTGGAGGGTAGGTAAAGTTTTGTTTTGTTTGTTAAGGCCAGAGTTCAAACCCAGGGCCTTGTACATGCTAGGCAAGCCTACCACTGAGCTGCAATCCCAGCCCAGGTTTTTTTCCCCTGATTATCATATTTTCACTACACATAGTAAAATTGCAGAAATAATTATGCCTCCTGAGTATCTGTTGGGTTAGGAGGGAAACGGAGGCTCAGGCAGGAAACAGTTACACATTGCTGCAGTCACCAGAACCTGTCTTCCAGTCCCCATTCCTGAGATAATTAGTGGCCGGGGGGCTTTCTTATTAATGGAAGGGACAGAAACAAGAGCTCCATTATTCTGGGGATGGAAGACTGTAGATGGCTTTCAACCAAAAAAAATGAGGAAGCATCAGTCATACCACCATTTGGCAGAAGAATTTTACAAACAGTCCTAAAGGAAAACCCTGTTGCTATCTTGGAAATGCTTACCAGCTCCACAGCATATCAGGCCCTCTGCTTGGCCCAAATGCAACAAACAGAAAAGACTGGGACCCTCGTTCTCAGAGGACTCACTGTGTAGTGGAGGAGACCAACAACCTCGCTGTGCACTGAGAGGTGTAATAGAACTATAAGCAAGAAAGCGGAGGCAATTAAATCTTTTCAGGAGTCTCAAAACTTTCATTTAAAGATACATTTTTATTTCTATTTTTTTTCAGTACTGGGATTGAACTCAGGACCTTGCATTTGCAAGGCAGGCGTGGTGCCACTGAGCTAAATCCCCAGCCCTATCTCTATTTTCGTTAAAAGAAGATATTAGGAGAACATAAATTACTTCACTAGTAATGTATTGAATTATTTCAGTGGGATAACCAGGGGAAGAAATTGAGGTTCTCAACTGTCAGCTTCTTCCTTCACTGTTGGTTAAAATACTAGAGTCTTTGAAGAGATTCCTGAATTTATTTTTCATTCCAGAAACCCTCTACATGCATATCACATAGTAGACCTTCCTTTTAGTAAAATAGCAAAGTCTCTCCTTCAAATGAAATCTTACTCAGAGTCAAAGGAATAAAAACAATAGAAGTTCTCTTGGCTAAAGTTTACTCAATCCCCTTAGCACCCTTTCTGTGGTGTCCATGGGAGCCAGCTCCATTTATGGTGCACCTAGAGAGAATCTTAAGCTGAAGCTGGGAGTCAAATGGAAATTGCTTTTAGCTTCTTACAAAATTGTTTCAACAATTAAAATATTTGTTAGATGATCAGGGGTATAGTTCAGTGGGAGAGGGCTTGCTTAGCATGCATGGGGACCTGCGTTCAATCGCTACACCAAAACCAACACCACAACAAGCAAACAAACAAGCAAATGCCAAAACCAAATTGTTTGACAGACTTCAGTTTTTTTTTCAAGAGGGAAAACTTTCACACTTTCAACTTCTCACTTTGGCTATGGTGGGGGGGACAACAAAAATCAACTTTTATCTTGGTGGCCTCAGTGTATTTTGAAAATCTTTTAAGGAAAACATTGGTGGTTTAGAAATGCTAACTGGGTTTTCTACCCGGAGGGAAGCATTGTCTCAAATTGCTATTTTTTGATAAAGTATTTGAATGTTCTTCAACTGTCTTCAATTTCATAAAAATAGTAGAATAAAACACTAATTTTTCTTGATAATGTGCTCTCAGTAAACAAAGATGAATGATTGCATTGCGCTAAAAACTTCATATGGCACTTAATAATTGTTCAGCTTCATAGGAATATTTGTCTCTGACATAATGATCCCAGCCTGTTTTGATGCTGGAGATTTGCTACCTGTTCTTTGTAGCTTTTCTTGTTCTTCTCATGCCTTGGGCTGAGGATTATCTTTTCCATTTTTAATGACCCCTCCCCTTTTGTCATTTCTAGTTTGCAACATTTACTTGATTTTGGATTTGGAAAAGCAAACAACCAACAATGTTGGGTTCAGTTTGCCAAGTAAGTGTAATGACATCAGAGTGGGGATGGATAGGTTTTACTATGGAAAATAAGTCTGGTTTGTCTGCAGTCAAGACTTTCAACTCATTAGGGAATATTTTAGTTTATTTCTGGATTTTCAATAATTAAGATTATCAGATGGCTGGGCTTCAGATAGGTGAAGTATCATCTAATACATATATTTCTGTTTGAATCATAGAGTTTTGAAATTAAGCCTAGCCCTTTATTTTGGGTAGGTTCTGAACTAGGACTCAGAATTAAACTTGGTTCCTCATGTATATAATGATTTGGTAAAACTAAGATCATTTTACTGTTCCACGAAGATGTGGAATACATATTTAAAGCTCTAGAAATAATTCAATAACCTGATATTTGGCAGTGTTCTTACTGATGTAAGATTTTCTTTTCTAAAATACATTTTGAATAAATCAGCCTATACTTTGAGATATTATAGGAAATGGCTTCATGAATTCCATGTTTCCTGTACAGATATTTGACAGACTTTAAAAAAAAAATACAATGTCTCTTTCAAGAAAAATTTTAGGTTTTATAAATAAAATACCTATGTTTCTGTTGAGTACCTGTTTGCTTTAACCTTCTGGATGGTGATTTATGGCATTTCTCTCTTTATACAGGGGTGGACTGCCGCAGCCTACTCCTTGGGGATCACGCCAAGCTGGCCGAAGTAGACCACTGGTGCCAAGCAGGCAGCATCCCCCTATGTGTTCGGAACCCTGGGACAGAGACTTTGCCTAACAGTCCTCTGAGGATGAAGGCAGTCCACTTAATCTCACCTAGTACAGAACTAATACAGTATAAGGCAAGTAGGTGTTCATTACTGAAACAATGAATGTATGGACCCACAATTCCTGTTCTTAGTAGTTAGGCCAAACCTGGGCCAGATCTCTGCTACTTTCTTCAAAGTGCTGCCCATGTAACAGCACACCTGCACCTTGTCTCAGTCTATTTCTTTCCCTTAGACAAATGTGAAAATTGTTCTGTATCCTCATCCTTGGAACAATGGTGCAACCGAGGTATCAAACCTAAACAATGAATCTCAGGGCCACTGCATGGAAAGTTACTAGCTAGAGTCATGTGCTTGAACAAGTTGCAGGTTAGGAAGAGTTGCCCTCATCTCATGACCTGCGCAGAATACTTGAGGGACACCTCAGATGGCCCTCTTGGCAGTACAGGAAATGCAAATAGGGAAACGAATGCAACCAGAATTGCAAAAGGAAGAGAATAGCCTATCTTACTTGTTCAATAATCATTTAGGTCCGTGCTAAGTAAAGGCACTGTGAAAGGCACCAGAGCTAATGCAAAGATAGACAGACATACCGTGATGAAAGCTGCAGTTGTGAGGGGGTCAGACATTAAACAACAAATCACACAGTTACTTAATTACAACAGTGATGACTGCTATGAAAGAGATCCAGGTGTCACGGACAAGTGGCAGGGCAGGTTTGGCCGGGTAAGGCTTTCTTTAGGAAGTAAGCAATGGGGTTTTTCCCTCATAGCACCATCATTACTCCACAGAGCTCAGCACCTCTTCTGTGAACCTTTGAGGCCACCCTCTTAGCCTCTATGTCACACCAACCTAGACTTACAGACTTACATATTATTGTTTTTCCCATTATTCCCTTGCCAACTTTACTTTTTCTTTACTAAAGTATTTTTAAAAAGACAACAAGCCATTCTGAAAAACCTGTAAATCTTTTTGATGTTTTTCTTCCAAAACTTGAATTTGAAATTTGTGTCTGGCATTTGCATCTTCAAGTGCTTTCTCCACTGCTTTTTTTTGGCGTTCATTGGCCTTTGAAAAAAAAAAAAGAGTCCAATTATTTATTAATATTATCAAGATTAGCAGAGGGCAATCATATGCACGAAGCATCAAGGACTTGGGGATTTCTGTTTGAGACAGCATCTCACTGTGTTGCCCAGGCTGGACTTGAATTCCTGGACTCAAGTGATTCTTCTGCCTCAGTCTCTCAAATACCAGGATGATGGACATGCACTCTATGCCAGTAGTACCAAGGATTTTGGAGACAGAAAATGAGAAGGAAAGCAGGACAAGATAAAGCGTTTGGAAAAAATGGGTAGTCTGGGGGTATTACATATAGCACAAAATGAATGGTGCATATATTAAATGGAAGGCCATCATAATTTAAATGAATGCCCCTTTTCAAGTTTTAATCAAATTGGACTAAGACGGAATGAGTAATTCATACAAAGCAGGCAATATAAAAAAGGAAGCTCTTGACAGGAGCCATTTCTTGCTAAGCACCTACTGTGTGACAGGTGTATTATATATTAGTGAGCTCTCTCAACAATTTTATAGCATGGGTTTATCATTGTTGTTGTTGTTATTGTCATCCTGAAGAAGCCAGTACTGCACAGGTTGAAGAACCTGCCCAGGACCCCATAGCTACCTAGGACTCAGTCAGTTCTGACTCTGTAGCCTATGCTCTTGCCTACTATTCTGTATTTTTGCTTTAGACAAATCCAAAAAGTAAAAGAACTGTAAATATGTATTTTAGGTTGATTTCTAACTTCTTTTACCTGATTCCACACTTTAGCTTCTGCTTTTGCAATGCTTTCTTTGAGAGCATCCTCTTGAAATTTTTCTGCTTTATTCAGAATATCTGCTCCAATATCTGTGTATTTGAAGAGAAATGATCACAAACCTCCATAGACCATTTCCTGGGTTTCCTTTCTACTATTATCTAGTTATTTATGTGAGCCATCTAGGAGATATATCTTTTTAGGAGATACCAACTTTTCCTTTTTCTTCCTTTTCTTTCTTTCATTCATTTTAAATTATTATTATTTTGAGACAGGGTCTCACTATGTAGTTTAGGCTGGTCTTGCACTCACTAGGTAGCTTGAGCTGGCCTTGAAACTGTGGTGACCCTCCAGCCTCAGCCTCCTGGGCACTAGGATTACAAGTGTGTGCCATCACACCCAGGTATTTGTCTTTATCTTTCTCTCTCTCTAGTTTTTTTTTTGTTGTTTTTTTTTTGTTTGTTTTTTTGGTGCTAGAGATTGAATACAATATGCTAAGCATATCCTCTGTCACTGAGACACACTCACTGAGCTGCTTATTTTTTAAAGATAGGGGTAAATTCTTCCCTGATTGGGAGCACAGTTAGGCCTGAATAGGGGCATCATTCAACTTATCACACTCAGTCCAGACGGTAAGCAATTAAGGGAAGCTATATGAAATAAATGCCTTGCAGAAAGTGGTACATTTTATAAATCTAAATTGGAATAGTGAGTGAATATTCAAGAGATATTAGCACATTCTTCTTCTTCCCTCTTCTTGCTACTATCTGCTGCTGTTGCAACTTCTATCAGGAGGATGGAAACCAAATATTTTCTCTAATACATTACATGGGTACCTTTACTTAATATACAAATCTCTGTAGGTTTAATGACTTCAGTAGGGAAGTGATCAAAGGAGTAGTTTATTCTTTGTCAACTCTCTAATTTGACTCCCAAATAATAAAAAGCCTATAATACCCTCTCAGAGAGGGGATTAAGTCTAGAGAGGTTAAGGAATGATACAACATCAGATAGATACAGGAAGAACTGAACCGGGAATCAAGATCTGAGTATTTTGAGGTGGTCACAGATTTGCCTACATTTTTTTATACCCAAGAGGTTGTCAGAAGTGGCAAAAAATGTTGTCAGGGTGATGGGCTCTTTGGGTACTGAAATCACAGTGATTATTCTCTGTAAACTCTCATAGTACTTATCCTTCACTCCATTAATTTCTCATATTTTAAATAAGTGAAATTAGTAACCTTTCATGGGGTAAGGTCTTGATGATCAACTTTCTAAAATTACAAAGAACACCTCATGGTGCCTAGCTTGGCAATACTCACACGTTACACTATGAACACGTGTGCTTATTCTGCTGTACATCTCTGCTCTCCCTCTAGCAACAAGACCTACTTCTCTCAACAAGTTCTCCCCTTCACCTGAGATTGTTCTGGTAAGACTGCCAACCACAGCATCCAGTCTTCCTGGCCTTTTTTACTTCCTCTAGGCCATAGTAATTGGGCCATGATTGGCAAATACTTAAAGCCTGGCTAAGAGACTCATCCCTATGATTTTATATGAGGATAGAGCTTTTTTCTAAGGGATTTCTAAGCCGGAGGTCACTGATGCTTAGATATATTTGGATTTACGCCACTCCTGCTGGAGTAAACCTCATTTTGGTAGTAAACAATTAAGCCAACTCCCTTGGAGAGTAAGCATAATGAATTGAAAGACTGATACCAGATCTTCCTCAAATTGATCTGTCAAAAAGGTCAAGAAATTCTATTTTATAAGCAGTCTATTTTGAACTGTGTTTCTGTCGCCTGCAACCAAAAGGATATGTTTGGTTGCACAGGATCTTTCCCACTAAAATATTAGTGAGTCATAAAACATAAGGCAGCAAATACTAGGATAGAGATGGACATATACTGTACTACAAAGCTTAACACTGTATAGATACAATTATTAAAGATTTTCCAGAAAGAAATATGATTAGGCATGAACCACAAAAATGCTGAACTTCATAAAAACGTGATAGTAATGCAAGTTGTTGATACCTTTTTATACTTAAATGAGATGGAAATCTGTAATTACAATTGATTTTTTTATGTACTATAGTTTATAATATTCTCACATTATTTATATGTACTTATTTCTATATCACTAGCTACTAATTAAAGGCTACAGTTTCTTTCACTCACTTGTCTCATTTTTTTGGTTGGTTTTTTTTGGTGCCAGGGATTGAACTTGGGACTTTGCGCTTGTGAAGTAGGTGGCAGAACCACTGACTAAATCCTGGGCCCCTCTTTCCACTCATTTATTAGGAAATTACTTGGAGTTATTTCCTGTCTTCCACATCTGAAAGGTACCCAAGTAGAGGCAAGAGTGAAAAGAACTCACACTTACTTGAATGTTCCAAATGTTATAATAGGTACAAATATTTCATTAAAACTTCATGATCTAAAAGATACATACTAATATTCTTATTCACCATACACAGATTGGCGCTGGGCACGGTGGCGCATGCCTGTAATCCCAGCACTCGGGAGGCTGAGGCAGGAGGATCGCTGAGTTCAAAACCAGCCTGGGCTACATAGTGAGTTCCAGATCAGTCTCAACTACATAGTGAGACCCTGTCTCTCAAAAAAAAAAAAAAAAAAAAAAAAAAAAAAACAGATTGGAAGGCTAAATACCCTATCCAATGCACATGACTGGATTCTAACATGTATCCTTTCACACAAGACACCCTTGTATGATGGTTTAAAGATACAACTTTAAACAGGGAAAAACTGGTAAGTCTATGTAATAGGAAGAATAACATATGATGCTATTAAACATTAGAATAAAGGAAAACAATAAAGTCACTTACCCAGTATATCTTTGTGAGTGTAAAAACGTGTCTTAAATGGTTTGTATTCATAGATCCTTTTGAAGGTTTTCCCAAAAGGAGCTGGTGGAATTATTTTATTACAAACAGCACAGCAAACAAAGTTTGTGTAATTTGGATTTCTGATCATAGTTAAATTTCAGATGTCTTCTACCATTTAGTTAAAATAATCTTAGGATCAGCAATAGTAGTTTTAAGAGAAGCTAGACATTTAAGCTGGAGAGGATCAGGATTTTAGGATAATACTAGAAGCTGGTAAAAACAAAATGATTTACCATAGATAATGGTAACATGTCTAACACTACCGAATGATACTAAAAGCCTCTCATATAAGACACAGGCATTGGATTTGGGGAGATGTCAGCAAGTGCTCCCTTCTGGATGCTAGCATTAAGTTGTTATTTCTCAGCAACTGTTGCTAGGTAACATAAGCTTTGCTCATAAAAGCAACTTGAAATAAATAACAAAGGCAGCATGATGTAGCCATGTACTTTCCTGGTAGTTTCTGTATTAGTGTCCTATTGCCACTGAAACAAATTAATGTAATCGTCATAGCTTAAATACAACACAAATGTATTCTCCTGAATTTCTGAAAGTCAGAGTCCAAAATTAGTCTTTTAGAGCTAACATCACTGTCAGGGCAGATTCCTTCAGGAGGCTTCAGTGGAATTTCCTTACTTTTGCAGCTTCTAAAGTCATCCATTTTCTTTACATCAATAGCTTTGTCTTTTTCTGCTTTCATGGTGATATCTCTTCCTTCGATTGTCTACCTCTAACAACCTGTGTGACATACCAGACCCATCTGGACAATCCCAGATGATCTTCCCATCTCAAAAGTCCTCAACTTGATCACATCTGCAAAATTTCTTTTGCTATAGTAAGTAACATAATCATAGAGATTGGATCTGGACATCTTTGCAAAGGTGGGGAGTATTAATCAGCCCACCATAATGTTTTCAATAGGCTTTTTAAAGAATGAATTTATTTTGCAGCCAAAAATAGAAATAGTTTCTTAATTATTTTCAGGTTATCTTTAAATGTGATGTTTTGGTGCTTTGGCAACAAAACTGCAAAATATCATGGTATCTTAAAGGAAAAATTGCTTCCATTTAGTCAGTATTCAAAATTACTAAGCCTATTTTTTGTTTTGTTTTTGTGGTACTGGAGATTGAACGTGAATGGTGAGCTACATACATCACCATCCTCTTTTTAAAAGTTTATTTTGAGGTAAGGGGAAAAAAATGAGAATCAAGACTTGCCATGTAAAGGTACATGATCCCAACAATGAATGTAACTGTACTGTATCCCTAAAATGTACCAATAAACTCAATATAAAAAAAAAAGTTTATTTTGAAATAGTGTCTCCGTTGCTGAGGTTGGCTTCAAACTTGTGATCCTATTGCTTTAGTTTCCTGATTAGCTTAGAGAAACAGCCTTAGAAATTCTGCCTCAAACATCTGTGCAAATGATTATACCAAGTGACTGAATTTAAAAAAAAAAATCACCTAATAATGTCATACACAGAATCTACTAGGCAGGACTGATTTTTATAATGAATCAATGCTGCTTATTAAATTAATTTCAACAATAGAACTCCCATAGTGAAGCCAAAAAATAGTGGAAGATATATATATATAAAGGGCATGGGTCCTAAATAGTTAACCTGAAGTAAACTAAAAGTCAGGGCTTAAGGGAGTTAACATCCCAAAGGGTCCAAATAATTAACTAAACCAAATTGACCATCAGGGCCTAATGGAATACAAGGGACAAAGAATAGGTCCTTTAACCAAATGAAAGAGACCTTGGAAGAAGTGAAATGCAAACGAAGTACTTGCTGTCTGGACATCAACGACCTATATGCAATCAGGAGCATCCTTGCTTTCTGTCATATATGCCAATCCCAAAAACTGTATAAGAGACCAATGGACTTAGCCCTCCCCAGCAAGCAGGGAGCTCTTTTCTTTTTTTCTAACAAACATGCATTTGGCCATTCCCCACTGCTTGCTGCTTGCTGTTTTGGTGGCTTCAAACTTCATTGTCCCCAAACAAGAACCTGAGAGCTAGAGTGAGCTGGTTACATCAGGGCCTTGGGTTGTGTGTCATAAAAGTTACCACATAATTCCTCTGTGTTTCACATTTATATTGTCATATTGCCTGATGAATGACTGAAGACTTTAAGTAACTATCAAGTGGTGTCAGATTCAACTTCAAGATGGTCCGTTGAGACTGGGAAAGGGATTACAAAGAGATGAATTTCTTCTGAAAACTGAAACCACTGCATCCACACAATTATCTGGGTTGAGAACAAAGGCCATCTATGTCTAAGATTCTCTTAACCTTGGAAATTCTTGGCCAGAAAGGAGGGTAACAAACTGGTCTTGATTTGCTTGCTAATGTCCTTGTTTTAAAAGGGAAAGTCAGCTGGGTGTGGTGGAGACTGAAGTAAAGGATCAAAAGTTTGAGCCTATCCTAGGCAAATGTCTCAAAATAAAAAATAAAAGAGCTAGGGACCTGGCTCAGTGCAATGGCAATCTCCAGTGCTGCCTAAACAAACAAACAAAACAATAAAAACGCTGGAAAACACCCATACATACCTTGGCATCCTTTGACACTCTGCATACACAAAGACTGTGCTACAACCTAAGACCACCCCAAACACAAGAAACACAAGAAACCCTTAATGCCTGGCAAACCAGAAGGGCTGGTTACCCTATGGAAGATAAAACTGTAAAACCAATAAATAATTTCAACATTTGCTTTAGGAAATTTTTGAAAGCCAATTTACCAATGGAACAGTTTGCTGATTTGGGCAAACCGCTCTCCAATCAGAACAAAAGATTATTCCCTTAGGCAAAAGGTTACTTATCCTTCATCACCCAATAGTTTACTTACCAAGACTTACTTCAAGACCTAATCTATTACGTTAGTTTTGTCCAAGCTCAAGCTGATTCCTACAATGAAAGACCTTTCTTTAGCCACTTGAACTCAAGACTTCAAATGTCTTCTCCATATTGTCTTAAACACAACTGACTTTATCAAAGTGGCATTTTTCTTTAGTGCTATAGGTTTAACAAACTTTGATCAGTAGGAGACAGATGGTTTTTAGAGGGAGTTAGCAGTTAATCCTTTATACTGCTTTGCTTCAAAATACAGAACTGTTTCTGAACTTAAGACCTAAATATATTATACTTAAAGTCTAATGGCTGTTTACCCATTACTGGACATAAGAGGATATATAATGAAAAGATCCTTAGACTTCAGAGCAAGATCTAGGTTTCTATCATGAATGAGAATCACTGTGACTCTGAGTAAATCTGAATGATTCTCAGCCTGTTTTTCTGACCATAAACTGACAAGACTAGACCTGGTAAGTCCAATGTTCAAAATGCTATCCTTATTTCAAAGGGCATTCATGTGTGTGTGTGTGCATGCATGCACGTGTGCTTAAGTCCTCATTCGACAGAGAATGGATGAAAAAATCCATTCATACCTTGGCATCCTTTGACACTTTGCATACACAAAGACTGTGCTACAACCTAAGACCACCTTATAGAAAACATTATAATTAGGTATTTATTCCTAAAATTCAGTGTGAGTTCTCTTTCACATTGGTCTTCACAATTCTGTGCTTGAATCTATAGCCACCTTTGTTCCCAAATGCAGATGTTACATAGCTTAAGGTTGTATGCTGTAGTTTCTCTTAATAGCTCACCCAATTAATATCTCCTCTGACATGACATTGAATATAAACTTATTTTGTTGACTAGTAAAAGAATTCTGATGTATGAAAATATGACATTATGCATGTCAGGTAAAAAGAGAAAAACTACATATTTGACAAAAAAATTTACAGGGAAACCAAAAGTAAAAGGTATCTGAATTAAAAGGCTTTTTTGTTTTTTGACACAAAAAGTATATTTTAAACTACATGACTTGTACTATTTGGAGAGGTATAACAAAGAAACACTGAAGGGTCAGTAGTAAAAAATTAATTTAGATCCACATGTATCAACTCAATTAGTTAAGCTCTTTAATATCTATAAATCAGACATAATTGCATCTTCATATATCCTGTAAAATCACAATAAAGTACTAGAAATTATAATTAACATTATTATGATATGCTCTACCTGTGCTATTATTATTTGGTAATAACAAATGAAGCAAAATTTCAGAGATGAAATTTACTACTAATTGCCAATTACAGTAATTTTGGAGAATGGGCTAAATGCATGTACCTGGAAATGAAACAGGTCCAAAACCCTGTCAGAAAGATTTACATTTTATCAGGCAAACCCAGTATGGTAAGGAGACTTTATTTCTTATCTATGAGTAGTTCTAGTTTTTAATCAACGGTAACACTGCTTAATAAAAAATAAAACGGGTAATATTTAGTTGTAGTAAAAAAATACCATACCTCAGTATACTAAACTGAATTACTTTTTACTCTCATTTAATCATGATTTTAGTAACTGAGGGGGAGTATCTTCTCAATTAAAATAAAAATTTTAACCAAAAGTAGCAGAAATAAAAACCAAAATGCCAGAACTGTTACTGTAAGCGGTCCAAGAACTGTTAAATCCAACTAAGCTTTCATTTCTCTTATCTTAATACTGACTCAGGCTTTAAAATTATGATTTCTTTCTTTACAAATACAGGTTTTATGCCAGGTAGAAAGCACATGTTTTCTTTGCAAATAACGAAATAACACTATATTCTCACAATAGCTTCAAAGGCACAATTTACCTTAAAATGTTAAAAACAAAAACAAACAAAAAAAAACTTCAGGCAAATTTAACAGCACTGGGTAATTTTATTATACGGAACTTAATAATTAACAAAAATGAATTCATAAAAAGGCACTTTTATAAGACAATTTAATAAATGGGAAATATTGAGCTCTTTTGTGGTAAAAGAATGAGATTAATAGCTAAAACTGTAGAATGACAAAATTTACTAGTGATGTGGCTGCTATCTTCTCATTAGCATATTACTGAAGAAGAAATATGATTCTGTGCACTCACAAAGTCTTTCATTTGAAGATTTCAAAGTTCTTAAGAGAACTCCACCTGCAGTAAGTAGCAGTTCAATCCCATTTAGATGTTCTCCTCTGAATATAACTGTGTCCCTCACTATCAATAGCTTCATAGAGGTCCTTTTTATTCTCCTGTGTTGCATGTAGATAACCAATATAAGCCACACAAAGTGAAAGGGATAACAATCCAAAAGCCATTACAGGTTTGTTCTGTCAAAGAAAAAAAATTACAAAGCCTTAGTAAGACTAATAATTGGAAGATACTGAAATATCTATAAATATCTATTACACTTCCCTCTTGGCACGCCGTATCTTTTTTTTTTCACTGGGATTGAACTCAGGACCTCGCCATTGCAAGGCAGGTGCTGGCACCACTGGCATGCCATAGCTTTATTATATTAGCATCCCTATGGCAAAACTTCAGTTATAATCATTTACTGTGTTCTTTATTCAACTAGCTCAGCTCCTAATTATTTAGATTATAGAAGACTCTTGCTTCCCCTCTCCAGCCTTTCTCCTCTCTCCAGCCTGGATATCTTAAGACCTCCACCCACAGAAAGGTGACAGCTTAGAGGAATGAGGCACAGATATTGATCTGGTGCTCAGTATTTAATGGTATCTATATAATGTGGAGAAGGTGCTTAACTTTCCTAGACCCAAGTGTTCTACTTGCAAATCTCAAATCAGTATATTTTATTAGGAAGTGAAAAATAAAACAGACATACTATTTTTGCTGCCCAAGATATGGATAATTATCAAAAGCCTTCTATAACAAATATTAGACACAGCAATGACACATAAATTATTTTGTTGAAACCTACTTTATTACCTCGAGATTCAGTGATTAGAAGAGATATTAAGCTGTTATAATAATGATGTAATGCTAGAAAATTGAAGATCTCAGGAAGCAAAGTGATGTAGCCTTGAATGGCAGAAGGGTGGGGAAAAGCTTTTAAAAAATAGGAAAAGCTTCCAGAGAACTGATTTATAATACTTTGCGATTTCTGAACCTGTGACTTGCTTCCCCCTTTCTACATGTTCTGTACTCAACAAATTGGCCTTTCTTAGTTAGTGATGCATGGTAGTGATATACAGTATTTCCTGCTTCTGTCTCCAAGACAGTATGACAGCAGTCCCCCCTACTTATCCATGAGGCATACCTTCCAAAACCCGCAGTGGATGCTTGAAATCACAAATACCAAACCCTACACAGTATGAACTGTGTTTTCTTCTATATGTGCATATTTTTAATAGTTTAATTTATATATTAGCTACAATGAGAGATTAACAATGAAATAGAATTATAACAATATCTGCCTTCAAATTAATGCAACAATTAAACTATGTTAATTCGAGAAGTTGGTCCCTTATAATGCAAGCATTTTGCATCGTAATTCCTAAGCTCCTTCAAAATAAATTATTTTTACTTATAATTTCCTTTGATTTGGTTTTATCATAAAGGGTCAACATAAAATATCTACAATAAAATCAAATGATGGTGGGAAATAAGAACTTTCTAATTCTATATCTCATTAACTATAAAGTCTTATCCTGGATTATTTCTTACAGGTTTAATGAAGAGCTCTGGATTTATGGCTCGAAATAAAGTAGTTGTGCGCACTCCTCCAAGTCCTGGGTTTCGAAAGTCTTTTTCTTTGGGTGGTTCCTGTTTAAATGTTGGAGGCTCGGGTGCTGAAGACATCTTGACTAATAACTTATTACCTAAAAACAAAACAACAAATTTTCCTTCATAATTGTTTGATAAACTTTAAAAAAATCATTTTTATACTCATTCTGCTTTTAAATTACAGATATGCACTCAAAGTGATTGTCAATTTTTACTTCATAGTGCATACTTTGTAAATGGTGATGGTGTTTTAAGTTTTGTCTGGTAAAATGGTTCACTGTTTTTTCATCTTTTAAACCAGTGAGATGGGCAGAAGGTCAGAGAATGGGTTGATGGTTTAAGTCACATTATAACCTGATACACAAAGCCAGGGCTATAGGTAAGAGAGGCCTGTGGGAAATCCATTTCTTCAATCCCTGCAATTTTTACTTTTCCTCACCTTCTAACAGCTCTTCCATAGCAACCCAAGGGAAAGTACTACCACTCCTTTGCTTAGTGTCTCCTCCTACAACCAAGCACTATCCCAAGAAGCAGGTATTTCTACTCATTCCTCCTTTGCCTATCAGCAACACTCTAGGAAGAACAAGTGCTGCTACCTCTTTAATCTAGAATATGTGCTGCTGAAGCGAGCACTATTTCGTTAATCTAAATATTATTTTTTTCTTAGCTATTCTAAATCTAACTTATTAAATCTAGATTATTTTTTCTTCTAGTTGGATTATCAACAACTGGACAATACTTTTCTCTTCCAAGTATCATTCCTGTCCCTCTTCCCAAGTGGATGTTGGAAGGGAGGAGGGAGAAGAAACCATCCAAAGCCTGAAATTAATGACAATATAATAAAACTCCTTGGGGAAATATTACAAATTCCTGCACAATAAATGTTATGAAACAGGAATCAGTCACACTTATACATGAAGTTCTGTTTATACAAATATTCTTTATTCACCAACTCTTGTTTAACAGACTTTCAAGGCAGTTATTTTTGCAACTTGACTTACGAAGAAAATTAAGTATTCAAAACACTGTGCTGCACTGATCATTACACATTCATCTATACCACTTACTTGGGTAAGTACCTCATAAGGAACATCTGCGGAAAGGTAAGTGATTACTTTCTGCACTTGAAAAGGCTTTGAGAAATGTTTACTGGGTTGTTCCATCACTTGTCTCCCATGCATATTATGGTTACTGCCAAGGTCTTCATCATCAACACTATGGCTTTATAGTTCCAATTTTACATCAGTGAGTTCACCTGGAGCAATTTCAGTATTTGCTAACTCTAGGAAAATAGTTAAATTGCTGCCTGTATCCACAATGTCTTCAAATGAAACCGGTTTGGGACACGAGTGAGAGTAGCAATTGAATGCTCAATTGGTTCAATGACCATCCTGAGTTTTGATCTTTTTCCAGGTATACCTCAGAGGATTTCACAGCAACCATGCCTGTTGTCTGCCAGCATTTCACTACTGTAGATAGACCAGTGTCTCAGAAATCATGCCAATAGCTTGCTTCATGTGGACCTTGTTCTCTCTTCCTCTATTTAATAGCAACTGGTTTCAGTAGTGAACCTTCACCGTGCAAATCATACCCTGATCTGAAGACTGTAGAATGGTTGTGCAAATTAAATTGGGGAAAACAACACATACATGATCAAAGCATGGGAATATGTTGTGGATAGAGCAAATGTCTTGGCAGAAAGATACTGCATTTTGTACCATTCATTCATTAATAAATTTGTCATCATTTAGACATGTGCACTGGATTGGTAATCACATGGAAATAAATCAAGCACTGAGGGTTAGCTGATTCGCCAGCGATGAATGGCCCAAAATGCATTACATCAGAATAGAGCACACCATCCCTCTGCTTTCCTTTGCAAAGTCCACCCCTGGCATGAAGCACATGATGAGGTAACAATGGTACAGTATACCTATTTTGTCAGCCTTTAAAACACATTCAAGCCATAACCTGTTTTTTGTTTTTTAAATTTCTCACATATACAAGTTACTAATTTTTAAAAAATATTGTCTTCACTATGGGCAACTTCTGAAATAATACCATAATATGCCTGTAATTTGTTCAGTCAGCTCACTTATTTGAAACTCATCTTGGCCAAAGTTGACAAAAACCCAATGCTTTCTATAGCACAAATGATACATTTAAATGTCCATTTCTCATATAAATTTCTTGATAACACCAGATGGCTACCAAGTGGAAGTCACATTCACTTCTGCTTTAGTCTCAATATTTAAACCCTTTTTCTTCACCCTTAGCTTGCATCAGTTAGGGTTCACTAGAGGAACAGAGTTAACATAAAAAAAAAAACATACACAGACACACACGGGTTTCTAGGTAGGTTTACAATGGTCTCTTGTAGTCAGGTGTGGAAGAATGTAAAAGAGCAGTTTATGCACTGGAGAGGATCCAGTCAGAGGCTGAAGACTTGGGAGCTCACTGGAGAGTCCTGTGTAATACCATATAGGGAAACTGGAGGTTGTGCACTGGAAGGCTGAAGAGTATGCCCTAGTAGCCTGGAGATGGACATCCAAAGGTTATGGTGAAGACTGGAGATCCTCTGAAGTAGCAGAAGTGAGACTTTCCCTTTTTTATTCCACCCAGGCTACAAGCCTATTGGTTGGTGTTACTCACACTCAGGGTGGGCCTTCCCTATTCAGAAGTCCATCATCCAGACACACTCAGAACCTTGTTAAACCAATCAGATAAGTGTTCCTTAAAACTGACATCACAGTTAACTATCACATGGCTCAATCTTTAAAAACATAGCGGTAGTAATGTTAAATGTTTTTTCTGTTTCTACTTTATAGTAGCAATCTACTGCTTCCACTATCACTGTGTTTTTTTCCTAGTGAAAACTGCTGATGTTTCATTTCCCCCTCCCCGCTTAACCATGATGATAGGATGGATGGTATACACAAATTTATTCAGAATTTAAGTTACAACAAATGTCAGCCAGCAGGCACCAAAACCAGGTGTCAGTGATTTTTTTCCTTGTGTTAAAAACTTTTTAAAGAAAGTGGGGAAAGAGAAAATGCAAAATGAAGCAATCGAAGTGAAAGCTGCATTTTAGTTTGTTAAAAGACCATATCTATAAGCAAGGCTAGGTAAGAGTTAACAAATGTTCATGTTCTTAGGACTGTATTATAGCCTAATAGTTTATTACTACTGGAACATTAGCTAAAAATATAAGGAAGTCCTGAAATAAAGCCAATATACAAAGGTAAATGTTATTCTAACCAGAAATGAATGCATTTTCTTTTGATTATTAGCTGCAAAAATATCCTGTACAAAATGGGTCAAAGGTGTTCAAAAGGAAGAAAAATAAGGTAATGGAGGAAGTACACATTATATAAAGAGTATACATATAAGGGTCCTTAGAGAAAAGTTTATCATGTACACTTTATGCTAGGAATTTAGGGATAAATTTCATTAAAAGTTGAGTATTTTGTATCTGAAATGCTTCAGAAGTGTTTTAATTTCATTTGTATACACAAATTAAAATATCTAGGGAAAAAGGACTCAAGTCTAAACAAAAAATTCATTAATGTTTCACGTATACCCAATACATGTAGCCTGAAGCTAATTTTTTAATAACTGTGTTCATGAGAGTTTGTGTACAGACCTATTAAAAAAGCAAAGGTATCATTACTGCTGCCACTCACTGAACAATCTGTGTGGTTGTTTGGCATCACCCTCACTGTTGATTCTGAATTCATATACTTCTGGTAAGGAATCATCTGTCACACTTACATGTACATAGTTAGTAAAAAGTATTACATACCATTAATAAAGGAAAAAGAATAATGTGTTCAGGGTAAGCAGGTAGCAGCATCTCCAGAATTCCTGTAGTAGCTGTTAAACAGCAGCAGTTTTCAATTAACACCGGTGGTGCTGTGTTTAAATGGCTACTGTACACTATTTTATTTTTACTGTATTAGGTCTAAGAAACATCAGAAGCAGTCGAGCGACCAGGAAGTAGGTCTTCTAGAGATGAGCAAGCATTCTGCTGAGTGGCTTTTTTAAATGTTTCCTCCAGTGTCATCTTCTGCATTAGCAACAGTTTTTGTCTTAGAAGTCTCTCTTTGATTTTATAGTGACATGACTTCTTGTTCTGTTATGAATGCTCACTGCTTTAACCCTTCAATAAGTCCATCACACAATTTCACCATGTCATCTAGAGGCACTTTTTCTGCAGTGCTGACGTCATCATGTTCATCATGATTATTACCTTGAACAGTTTGAATCAGAACCATTTTGGCTATTTCACCTTTGGTCAATGAATGAACAACTACAGCCTGACTCTTGATGTTAAAAACTTTTTCAATATCCACTTCCTCAAGGAATTTCTCTGCTGCTTTGTGATCAACAGATACTTTATTGCCACAAATCTTTAAAAATTTAATGCCATGTCTTTTCTTAAATTTCTGTAGCCAGCCTGTTGAATGTTCACAGTTCCTTTCAATTTTCAATTCATCACGATAGATCTTTGCTTGTTTCACGATTAGCATATCATTTAGTGGCATGTGTTCACGGTGATGCTGATGGATCCACTCTTTCAATACATGATCAAGATCTTCATTTTTAGCTTTATGCAGTGTTTTTCTATTTTTCATTAACTTTGGTTCATCACTTACAGCATAAAACTTCAACAGTTTATCCTTCTGTTTCTTCAGGTCATATATGGTGGTCATTCTAACACCATACTCTTCAGTAAGACATTTCACACTTACACCACTGTTCAGTTTTTCCAACAGCTTGACTTCTTGTGCTATAGATAAACACAAATGTTTCCTCTTTTTTTCTATCACTCTTACCCACAGGGACACCTGTGGGTCTTTCTGACATTTTCAGCAATATCTTTATATCACAGAGCAGAGAATATGCCAAAAAACACAGTGAGTGATGCACACTGTTGGTGGCCTCATGTGGGGCATCTTGGGGAACCTGTCCTTGGCACACTGGGCCTTTACACATGCCATTTCATTACCCTTTGAGGGTATGCTTCTGTGGAAGAATCTTGGCATATACAGAAAATATATGTTGCAGCTGAAGGGGACTTGACGGGTCTTTTTTC